ATTTTTATTTGCAATTTTGCTGAACACTAAACGAGTTGACCTTGGCAGATTCGGTCAACGGCTAGAATTGACCTAGGATGTTCAACGTTCAAATCTTTTAATGATTTGAACGTTTGATTTGTTTGATGGAACTCCATATGTATTTATTTGAAACCTAATCTTTTAAAAAATAAATTTACATATTTTTTTATTAATTTTTTTTATAAAAAAGATTTTTCCAAAAGGCTGATTTAATTTCAAAATTAACCAAATGATTAAAACAATTATGTTCCTCATAGCTTAGCTTAGCTTTTGATACAAAATAATAATAATAATTGATACATTCTCAAGAAATTTTCTTGATCGGGCACGAATCTTGATGCAAAATCACATTAGAAACTTCCAAAATTAAAATTGGGACCATCCAAATTCCGATTTTAGCAAACTTATAGTCAAACTGAACGTCTTGAAAATACGAACCCAGCGACACCAAATTAAACTTAATCCGAGCCCAAATGAGTCCAAACCAAGGACCCGAAGCGCTGTTGGAAGGTTTGAACCACAATTTGGATTACCAAACGGCTTTCAAACATTACGTGCTTATAGTCGAATCGAGTGGCTTAACGAGACAAATCCAACAAGCCCAAGATCGTCAAATTCCGACATCATTAAGACATTCAAATGTCTAAAAAATGAACCACAATCAAGGGATTCTATATCGGCCGTTCATCCAACCACTCCACATTTACCCTTGATCTCTCACCTATTTACGGGCCAAGCTAATCCAGAAATCTATAAATAGATTCTCTTTTCTCTTGAATGGGGGGCTCACAGCAAGAGAGCAAGAGAAATATAAGAGATCGATCTTGCCTCCTCACTCCTCCTCGACCATCGTCAGAGTTCCGCCGGACCACCGCCTGACGTTGTTGCTCCGCCGGACCACCACTTGAGGCCCGAACTTCTGCCGAACCACCACATGAGGCCTAGACTTCTGTCGGACCACCACCTGAGGCCCGGACTTCAGCCGGACCACCACATAACGCCCGGAAATTCTACCGGACCACCACCCGACTCTCAGACTTTTGTCAAACCATCACCTGAGGCCCGGACATCTGCCGGACCACCACCTGATGCTCGGACTTCTGCCGGACCATCACCTGACGCCTAGACTTCTACCGGAGTACTGCCCTACTACTACGGTCTTTTTGACCCTGGTCTTCGGTTAACTACGATCTTTCGGACCCCTGTCTCCTGTCGACTATGGTCCTTTCGACCTTCATCGCCTACTATGGTCCTTCTGACCGCCATAGTTAGACAATGATCTTTCTGACTCCCGGATTTCTACCGGACCACAACTTGACTCTCGGACTTTAGTCGGACCACCACCTGAACTTATGTCGGACCACCACCTGACTCCAAGACTTCTACTATACCACCACTTGAGACCCAGACTTCTGTGAGACCTCGTTCCCTTACTGTTCCTCTCTGAATTGAATTTTCCTCCCAGAATCGGCCAGGACGATGTTGAGATCGTCCAGGCCGATCAGTGCATTAAAAACAGCTGATTTCTGGAGTGTTTCTGGAATGATTTCTGGACTGGATCGTCCAGGACGATTTTGGATCGTCCTGGGACGATCAGTTCATGGCAAAATCCCGAGAGCAAAATCGAAATTATCGTCCTGTATCGTCCTGCAAAATCGTCCAGTACGATTGGAAATTGGTCACATCGTCCTGGACGATGTCGCGATCGGCCAGGACGATCAGACTAAAGATATAAGGAAATCAGCTCGTTTTGAGGAGAGAGAAAATCATTTTTATAAAATATCTGATTTTGAAGAGAGAGAAAGAGAAAGGAAAAGAGAAGGAAAGCTGGTTTTCGAAGGCCGTGGAGCGCTTTTCGTCTGACGCTGCTGTTGGAGAAAGTGTAGATCTCGTGGTAAGGACTCTGAATCCTATTTCTGTTTTCAGATATGTTGATTTTTGATCGCGTTGTGACTTGTTTTATGTTTTCGTAGTCGAATTTTGGACCTGATTTGGTATTGACACAACTTTCACCGCACAACTTTTAGAATGTTATAGATATGAATATTGTACATGATTTGAGTATATTCTGCGATGATTTTACCGGTCAGAATTGGTTCTACGCGCTTTTAATTGAATAGAAAAATATCAGGATGTTTCTTGATGTGGATTATGTAGAATAATAGTCTTATATTGTTGTTGTGCACGTTCTGTGGTAATTTGGTAAATTTCTATTTTGGGTGATTTTTGTGTAAATTCCGTACACTGCCGTTATGCCGCTGGATTTTCGTATGATTTCCAATTGTTCTGAAATTGATGAATTGTATAGATATGCATATGAATGTTGATATGATTGCTCT